TTTCTGTTTTCCTTTGACTGATTATATATATGAAGTCACTTATTGTAAATTGTACCTGTAACAACTAATGTTGTTGATTATGAATGTTGCAAATAATGATTCAACTATAAAATAAAATAAAAGATATTTTCCATGTTTGTATGTGAGTGTTATATTTTGACATCATTTTTATACGCCACGCCCGTCAAATTTGATGGGAGTATTATGGTATGGTATTGTCCGTCTGTCCGTCTATCCAATAAACTTTTATTTGTTCGTCAATTACCTCCTACAAAATTTGACTGATCTCTTTGAAACTTGTTATACATTATAATCATGATATGAAGTTGTCTCTCCCTTAAACGAATTTTGTTTCGACGAATTTTGCAAAAGTTATTGCCCTTTGTTTATTTCAGTATTTGACTTTTGTCCGGCTATATCCTCATACATTTTTCAACGGATCTCTTTGATACTTGTTATACATTATAATAATGATATGAAGTTGTGTCTCCCTTAAAAGAATTTTGAATCGACAATTTTTCCAAAATTTATTGCCCTTTGTTCATTTCAGTATTTGATATTTTTAACGGGAATTTTTCTCCTACATTTTTATAGCATGACAGTTAACCACTCTTAGAATGATGCAGATCTTATATCAATGTAAGAAAGTATATAACACTATATGGCATTCGACGGGCGTATATTGTTTCGCCCGCAGTACTCTTGTTGTTCATTTTAAAAGATGAGATTTTTTATTTTTAAATTGCAAATTTTGCCAAAACTAAGATATGGCTCCATTATAATTTGTGACCAGTACAGCAGTAAAAGTATTGTCATCTATATTGGTCGGTACATGCAAACCAAATGATGAAAGCAATGCTTCATATTTGACTGGTGTCCAATGGATATGACAACCAGGTTTACACAATCTATTTTACATAACTAGATTATTACTCTTGTCTTATTAGACTGCATGTCTTATTAGTCCAAACCAGTTACAGGAGATAAATATAGGTTTGCATTCCGTCAAGGTACGTGTATATCTTCTTGTCCAATTCAAGTACATCTTTGAATAGGAGAGTAGGAGAAGTAGGGCCATGAATAGCAACCAATGCTTGACCTTCACATTTAATCATCTTCTAGTGTACTTGGAGTATCTAGATTTGTTTTGGACACCCTTGAATTGGGAAGTGCAGAGTACAAGAATTATGTCCCTGTGACCAATGCTTTGAAGAAGTTTGTGTGCAGAATTCTGAAGTATTTCACTAAGATTGGAATCGAAAAAGGTATATGTGAACTATGTATGCTTTTGTCGTTGAAAACTTTGTATATCCTGAGATGACGGAACTTATTGTACAAAAACAAGTTGCTGTGAGCTTTTGTGATTTTTTAAATTGATCAATGTTATTTTATTATCTTTAAAAGATCTTTTAAAGACAATTAAATAACATTGATCAATTCACATCTTAGATATGATTAAGACAAACTTATTGCACTATATTCCTTTTCCAAGTCCTCCCTTAATGGAATTTATCGGAGAATGTTTTATTTCAGAATTATTTCTCACCCGACTCGATGTCTCTCTGTCCTTCACTCAAAACTGCAAGGATTTAAAAACAATCAAAAGACTAAGACTGGTTTGTATGAATTTTAATGAAATCACAATTCATTATTAAAGAAGAATTATAACAATGATATTTCATGGCACACAATAAAACCTTATTGTAGCTACAAATTTACACAAAGGATGTTCATTTTGTCAAAACCCTTCGGCTGTCAAATCGTGTACAAATATTATTTGCTATATCATCAATGTATATTGTTTGTCTATTTTGAAACATAATAGTTATTTGTTAGAAATCATTGTTTATTTCATTTAAACCAAAAATACTTGGCAAATGCCTTATGAAAAAATATAGTTAATTGTTCATTTAACAATCAAAATATAATTTATCTATCAATTTAACATTAATAGTATATTTCTAGAACATTTTACAGAAAAAATATACATATTTAACCGTCAGTTTCGAAAACACAACAATCTGACAGTTTTTTGTTATTTTACACAGAAAATGAAATAGTTCCAAATAAATTTGGAAACATTTTACTTGTCCTTATTTGTATTATAAAAATGCATAATTATGCAACCTCAAAAAGTAAGCATTTCCATGGTTTTAGAGGAAAAAATTATGAGCTTCTCAGAATCTGGTTTTTGTCCTTTTTTCATGGTTTGTTGAGCCTTGTGCTGGGAATCGTCAAATATTTAAGATCGATAATCGGAACTCCATAATTGATCGATAATAATCGATTATCGGTGGTTTAAATGACCTACTCATGTAACATAAAGAGGTCGGCTAATTTATTATCTGATGTAATTGTGCCTGATGAGAAAATACTCGTTTCCGAAATCTAGGCAGAAGGAAGGATTCAATTATATCTCTATTTTGACCCAAAACTTGATGACAACTAGGTGTACTCACAGTTTATGTATTAATTATCCCCATTTGAATGCTTCAATCACTATAACATAGTATATTAATAATAATTTTTCACGAAAATATCAGCTTACTTCAATTTACTAGCTTTCAAATATGTCGGTTTCTGTGGATACAAAATGCGGATGTATGTATTATACAAAACGAATACAAGTGACACAACAATAAGCAATTCCGCTTTTTTACCATATACAATTTCATTTTTATATTAACCACCAAATTTATAATGTTGGTGCAGATCTTGTGTCTGCTTCAAGTAAGAAAAGATTTACTATACAATTGAACATAATCAATCTTTCATCAGCAAAATGGATTATTAGATCGGACCCTTTTCAAACTCGATTTAATCAATGTTTCCGATTGTCGGTACACCACAACTTGAGCCACCTTAAAACATCATGTTTGTTCATGAACTATTTCCTTTTGTGGAACCAGTTTCTTATTCCAGTGTTTATCGCCGTTATGGCTTCACTTATCGCATTGTCAGATACACCATATGTGTCGTACACTGCTTGTTCCACAGCCTTTTTCCTTCTTGGAGTTAGTGGCATCTTTCCGCGTTTGCCACGGTAATTCCTGTCCTCCATCTCAGACTTTCGGTATATTTTTTGACACAAAGTCCACGCAAAGTTACCTCTCGATGAACATGTTGATTTGGCGTGTGAGATCAGATCACGTGTGATCCTGTATTCCGAGTGGTTTTCTCTCACATCATCAGGACACGAGATCTCTACAATCCCATTACTTGAAAAGTTTGGTGTCACCTCGGTATACTCGTAGACATCTATTGGGTCCACATTGAACATTGGGGTAGGGGGTGTATCAGACACATCATTATGGAGTTGTTGTTGTTCTTCATCCATGGTTGGAATGAGGTTGATGAGGGTTGGTAATCCTAAATTATCCACCTGTCTGTCATTGCCAAGACAAAATCCTTTCCAATTTCGAGTCAATTTTCTTGAACCATTCCTTGGAGCAACTGCAACAGGAGGTACAATCTGTTCTGCTGTCACTGGTATCCTCATCTGGAATGCTGAACTGCAGGCGTCTCTTTGGGACCTGGATACATGGCATATCCAGGCCTGCATGAGGGGTTTCTTCATAATCCATTTCCTCATAGTCGAAACTACCTGGGTCATCACTGTGAGGCTGATGATCCTCCTGGATGATGTCTGCTGCAGTGTGATCCTCCTGGATGATGTCTGCTGCAGTAGGCAGGGTATCACTGTTGTTTCCAAATTCTTCGTGGACCTCTGCATACACTACATGTTCCCTATCGAAAAGTTTACTTATGTCCTCATCCTCTGACACAATCACAACCTTTTCTGTCTGTGTGCTTGTCATTAATTTGGAATCTAACAGAAGTTGTTGTCCTATCACGTCTATCTGGTCCCCAGATCAACCGTCTACATAAAATGGTTCACGAAGTAATGCTGCTTCATCACATAACTCATCTGAGGAGCCTTCAAAAAGCACTTCAACTGATCGACCATTACCCTACAAAAAAAATTGTATTCATCAGTCAGTTTTTATAAGAATCTTTCCACCTTCAGGTAGAATCAACATGGTAATGATTGATTTTTCTTTGCCCAACCTCTTATCAGGGAAATTTGCTGATGTTTTTAATGAATTAAAAGAAAGGATTTTTTAATACCATTAAAGAACATAGTTACTAACTAAGAACGCTGCAATTAATATGTTATCAGAGTTATCGTAAATTACATACATGTATGGGTCATCAAAAACCCTGTATTACTCTATTTCCCAAATAGATCATGATTTCATTTGGGGCATATTGTCTACATGTACACGTGACAGATTGTTTTGCCCCGTATCCTCACATTCTCGTGCGAGACTTGTGCAGTTTCCAGTTTAAGTTTGAAATATTTATTTTCATAATAGCGGGCATGGCAGCCAAATTGTATTTCTGATCGACCCGAGAAATAACAACACTTTGTCAGGGCCATGAGTCGATCATGATTACCAAGTTTCAGTTCAATTGGCCCAGTAGAACTTAACCTAGCAAATTAAATGAAAACAAAGTTCAGCAAAAACCCAAGCCATATTACTCCCTTACTATATATTTTTACAACAGTGACATTGACCTTTAAAACTAGGTTACACCCTATTACTCATTTAAACATGAAAGTACACGCTGTATCACCATGGTAGATTTTGAAACACATGAGATTCCAAAATGACAGTTACATCCCAGATCCCCCTAATTGTCTATAGTTTGAGTAACAATGACATTGGTCTTGACCTTTAAAAAGTTTTTAAATGCTGCTAAATCCATTCTTTTAAACATGATATGTTTAAGCATTAGGATAGTATATCATGGATGAACTGACAATGACCTGTTGGGAATGGACACCTCTGTTTTCAAAATGGGTTAACAGTTTATGGAAGCTTTCGGTTTATTTATCCTACACATGTAAAGTTACTCTTTTGAGAAAACAATATGTTCACAATGCAAAGTTCCCTTTCCACTTTTACTGTATATGTGTTGGCGCATGATAAGTGAGAATGAACGATATGGGATCATATGACCAACAAGAGTTCCACGAGAAGGTACATGATACGTCCGTCAGATGTAGAATGAGCAGTTTGCCACAAAGGGCCATACATTTTGGAAAGATAAGCGTCAAATCTGATCAAGCTAGTCCAGGCTTTCATGTCAATTAACCTTCCTACAAAGTTTGAAATTAATCAATTCATAATATAAGATATTGAGCGGAAACTGTTTCGTTTATTCTACAAAGGGCCATAACTCTGTAAATAACCAGCGAATAATTATGGGTATCCCAAGCTTTCGTAGAAATGAACGAAGTTTGAAGTGAATCTATTTAAAATTACTGAAGTTATTGAGTGGAAACTAATGTGTGCCTGCCCGCCCGCCCGAATGCGTGAAAACATAATACGTACTGTCTAACGACAGGATATAAAAATTGAACTTACATGGATTTTCTGTTTTTGCTTTGCTGTAGCTGATGCTGCCTTGTGAGGTGACTTCTGAAAAAGAAAGAAACTGTCATTTAGTTATTCATCCAACATTCAACGGATCACAATTGTACATGTTACCACATTCAATGACATACATTAACATTGTATGTATCAGCTACATAATTACATGTTTATATTTCGCAGCGGCTTTGATTTATCATTGCACTGCCAAAACATATTAATGCACACTGGAAAATGTCTACTAGTATTTCCATCACAGTGTGTTGCAGAAAAGACGGAACGTTTATTATGGCATAATGCGCTAATTTCTGTTTTCATCCTGACACAGATCTAGACAGAAAAGTTTGATATGATAATAATTGTCAATTTAAAGTGCAAAGTGGGGAAGGGGCTTATTTGCGAGTGGAATCTTATTTGCAATAAAATACAGGTATTGTATCGGGTTTGTTCAAAATGTTGTGACAAGTGTCATAAGTTTGGAATCCTGACCTATGTATGGTGTTATATCATATTGTCACAATACAACCCTTGTGATACATATATATTTTCACATATCTAAGAAAATTTACCTTTTTCTGTATTCTTTTTACTTCTGTCTTTTTAGGCTTCTTCAAGGTTGTCTTTAACTCTTGCTTTTGGCGAATTCTAAAGAGAAAGAAAGTTTGTGATATAATTTCTAATAGATGTAGTATTTCAAGTCAAAATGAAATATAGTTTCAAAATCGGACTATTTGAAAAACCCACTTTAACTAGAACACTGACACGTCGGGAAGGCCCCCACTTTGCATCTGACCCTAATAGTGAAAGTGAGTGTTACATTGACATAAATCGTTACTTATATACTCCTTAACAACTTTATCTTCTTGTTACACAAAGCAAGTTAAAATGAAATCAGATGTTTCCTTCAACACCGAATTTGCAGAGTTATTTTTTTTTATTTTTTTATTTTGACCCAATGACCTTGACGTTTGCTGATAATGCAGATCACTACAATATATCATCACAAAATGTTAATCAGTTAAGAGATGTAAATGTTGACCTTGACCTTTGTTTTGCCGAGATTGATATTTTGTCAGTTGACACCTTGTGTAACTCTGATTAAATTTGCTTCATTTGATAAGCAATGAATGTTTTAGCTACCATTATAGTCCTATAACACAATTTGCTATTGATGGCACACTTAACTAGAACTGTAAGCTAAGGCTACTAATACACCCGCTGATATATGAACCTGAACTGTAAGCTAAAGGCTACTAATACACCCGCTAAAGCTAAAGGCTTAATTACTCAGGCAAAGCAATATAGTCTCCCACCAGTTACAAGTATTTTGCACAATGTGGCATAATTCCATCAAAAAGGGTCAAAATCACAAATGAAAATGCCGGTTTACAACTACATAGCATGTTTCAATGAAATCCAGCTGTTACCGTAGTTAAGGAGGAGTTTTCCGGACAAGTTACTGTGAACGACAGAAAGTCATCCAGACAGGGTGATTCAAGTATACTCCCTAGCTTATAGGACGATAACAATATTTGCTTAAATATTTATCATTTATATTTACATTTTACTTTATTTTCTCATTTGGAACAATTCTTTGAATAGATGTAAAATCTGTTTTTGACCTTTCATTTGATGACATCGAAGGTAGGTCAGTTGACACCTTGCACCAACTTTGTATAGATTTAAAATTGGACTTTCATCTTTGATCAGTTGACCTTGAGGTTTGGTCAGTTGACAATGAATGTTTTAATCTGACTTAAGCTTTGTTTCAATATCTCTTAACAATATGTTAAGTGGCTGAGGGATGTAAAATTTCTCAATAAACTATAAGGTCAAAATCAAAGATGGCTGATAAGTGGCTATTTTGAATCCAATCCACCTGAAAATTATGGAGATAGATCTAAGGTTCAAGAAAATCATTATTCTAAGTTTTAAATTACCCAAATTAATTCCATCAACATTGCATAAAAGCAAAAAAAAATGACAGACATAGATTGCAGACATCTTGATTACAGACTCGCAGACAACATAATGATAGTGTCGCAGTAACCAGGCAAGACAAGATCCTTGGTTTATCAACTACTCTTCCCATTTCTAGCTCACCTTGCTTGCCTGCAAGGGTTCAAATATATTTCAAAACTTTGAATGTTGAATGTATTTTACCATTTGTGACCTTCACACATATTCAATTTCACAAATTGTTAAATTTATTCTACATCTTCGAAATAACTTAATTAAGGGCCCAAGGTAATGACATTTTGCCAGTGTAGCATGTTGTCAAGGGATGAAGGGAATATTACAAAGTAAAAAAAGATGAGTGACCTTCAACCATATTCAAGGTCACAGGGGTCAATTATGTTAAAACTTAACTTCTTCTGAATAACCAAATTGCATAGGATGGTGATATTCAGTAGCATGCACAGAGGAAGTTTGTTCGTGTGAATGGCACACTTTCAATTTCACATATGGCCAATTGTGTATCAACAAAAGGTCTAGGGTGGTGATATTAGACAAGTTTGTGCTGGGAAAAAAGCTCTAAATTTAACTTTATGTCCTTGTTTGAGTTTCAAGCTGGTTTATATATTGCTTCTTTTTTCAAAATGTTTTCTAAAATTATTTGGATTTGTTTTATTAAAATGTCAGCTCACTATCTCAAAAACAACTTAAATTTTGTATCTTTTTCATCTGGTTAATGTAACTCGGGAAAAATATAGAAATTTAAAACAGTTTTCGACTGTTGCTGTTTAGGTTATAGCAGAACACATTACAAGGCTTTTGTATGGATCAAATGATGGGACAAAGGTCAGGTCAGAGGAGAGGAGTCGCAGTCGCTTTGTAGATTGCTGCCCTGATGCAGTTTTTAGGGCCCATTCACAGGTAAGAGTCCAACTTTAAAAGTGAATTTAGATTACCACTTAATGTATCATCAAGGTCTTGCATCAGGGATTTTGTAATCTTGGTGTCAGTACATCTGTAAACACTTTGGTTTAGAGAAGTTTTCTGATGTTTCATTATTGCTCAAAAAAAATATGGGGATGTTACTTTACTGTCAAAAATACATGGGATTGCCCTTCTTGCCAACCAGGGTTAACTTTGATGGTAAGTGATATTAAGTGGATATCCTACATAAATAATGCATTGTTATTAAATCCATAAACCTAACATGGCTGCTAGTCAAGCTATGACCTTTACCTATGCTTAGCTAAGACATATATGGCCTTTGTTTAGACTTTGTAGTAAGAGACAATCTACATGATGATTTGCACATTAATATATAACTTTTTTTAGTTGCCTCTGGCTGACTCTGCTCACAATCCAGATAACCATACAGGGCCAACAATGCCTACCAAGAGGTAAATTTAATTTTGAACTTTTATTGTACCCTCTAAAATGAAATTTTGGAAGGTGTTCTATAATAAAGGTTGCTTTGTCAATCCGACTGGATAATAATGGGACATTTTGTCATATAAAGCAGTGCAGTTTATCTTTTGAACAATTGTTTTAATACACTTGATCTTATTTTTAGTGAGTTATGTCCCTTTGTGCTATCTTTTAATGCTTTTGCCAAAATACTTTTATACTGTCATCATTTTAGAATATTAACTTGCAAATCAATTACTGATGTGATTAGTTTCAAAATGATATTCAATCATAGCATTATATTTCGTATTTGATCATTTCTATTTTGTAAACACACAAGGAGAAATAAGCATTAACTTTTTATTGCATGTTTTTGTTAGGATGCGCTCAGCTAAAGACGCCTTACCCGCTGCTCCATTTACCCTTTCTAAGGAGGAAAAAGAGAAAGCCGATGGAAGACTAAAGATGGTCAAAGTCCCGATTTATTTTGGCGACATGCCAACAACCCTGTTCACTAAAATCTATGGCATGAAGAGCCACACATGGATGAAGGTACTTTTTCTTTTTTATAACCTGTCAAAATGTTTTGGTATGTTTGGTGAATATGTCTGTCTATACCTTTGTTGCAACAAGGTAACTTGCTTAAATATCTGAAGACTTTGATGTTTAGTAAGTATGTACGTTACACAAATACTAAGAATAAATTTAAAGATAAGCTAATTTTGCTCAATTATAATGAGCTATATGCTTTAATCAACATTGACACTTACTTGAGTTTCAAGATTTAATAACTATTCATTTTTGATGAAATTTGGTAAACCATGTAAAATAAACAATGGTGGTTTCCATAAAAATAACAGAACATGACCTGATTTTAATGACTCTTGTTCAATATTTTCCTACAAGTTGTAAGTTAGCAATTGACCAAAACTTTGCTTCATTAAATCTTACTCAAATATAATTGGTCTATGTCTTAGGTTTCTTAACCTCATATGACTTGAGTTTTGATGAAACTTAGTCAATATTCTTATAACACCTACAGCAACAAAGTCAGGTGGTGGAATGTAATTGTCCGCCCATATGTCTGTCAAAAGACACAATTTGGTCCCCATAACTCCTCCAGCACCCGTCAGCAAAATTTAACTGATCCTGCAAGTAATATGTTAATCCATCTATTTCTATTGGAGCTATGACCCTTACTTTTAGAAGAAAAAAAGTTCCCACTACTCCTGAGGGTCCTAAACACTTTGTGTGATAATTGCTACACAAAAGCCATATGTCGATAGAATATAAATCAAATACATAAATTGGTGTTACCTCCCCTTTGTTTAAAAACGAAGAACCACAAAATAATGTAATATATGACTTAATGTTGGAGATCATGATTATGCGTAATTTTTAAAACCAATGACACAACAAAATTTACATTAATTTAGATCTTCACATCTGGAATGCTGAGGTACATTCTACGTGATTGCCTTGGAACAACTCAGAGACATACATTGTTTATGTTCTTGAGGTGCCTCGAAGAACTGTACACAAGACAGCTGTCATTGTCAGACATGGATAGAGTTGAAAGCGCATGGCACCAATGCCTGGCATTGATGGAGAGAGATTCCATGTAGTATTCAGGTAAATACTTTTGCATTATAAGGATATCCTGGAACAGTGTAAATTACTAAAATATGGTAAAGAGTTTCAGTCTCCTTTACAATAAATTGAAAATTTCTTCTTATTACAAGAGAGCAAGATTCTATAAATGGAATAATATAATCTAGGTTTTTGATGAAATACAAGAAAGACTTGCACTTCTTGAAAAGAAAATATTTTAAATTCCTTCTTTGTATAGCTTATTTGGGGCTTAAATTGTACTCTTTCAACTACAATTGAAAAAAAAGTCTCGTGCCTGACTATATACATGGTTATTGTCCTTTATTTCATTTTTGAAACTGAAGCATAACTTTTATGCTACTTCATCTACATTTTACATCATTTATAGACTAATAGTGCTTGCAATACTTTCTATTTTGTATACTAGACTAACCAATCATTAAATATGATGATTATTTTGAAATTTGGTAGCCGGCCATCTGTTGATGAAAGTTGATGAATATCTGCTTATTATTTCTATTATGAATCTGGGTACATGTGATCAGTACATAACTATTTTTTAAAACCTTTTGAGAATTGTGAGAACTATTTTTTTCTGATATTTTGTGGGATGGGACTGTTAAGTTAGCT